TCTAGTGCTGGGCCTAGAGGGCAGCTGAGATGACCAGCGCTTTTTCGACAAAGACAACTCAATCCATCTGGAGGACGCGGTCGCAGGCGAGATTCATCACTGTTTTGGCACAGCCACGGAGTCCAAATTCCAAACATTCTATGCAGTGTGGAAGCATCTAGCTCTGCCTCCCATGGTCTATTCTGCCCTGGGGTACTCCCGCCAGTCCGGCAGCTGATAGCCCGTGCGATCGTCATCCCCGCGTCCCACCCACTCGGTTCCAATGTGCGGCACGACAGCGTCGTAAAAGACGCGGTACGCCTCGCCGCTCATGTGCAAGCCGTCGGGCAGCAGGTCGGCGAGGACACCGCGCTGGCCACTCTCAAAAGTGCCGAGCAGGGGCCTGCCGGGGCCGGCCTCGTAGTCCGGCGTCTTGGCGACGGCGTGGTCCATGAGGGCCTTCCACAGGTCGATGAGGACGACACCCTCGTGCTCGGCGGCAACGTCCCGCGCCAGCTGGGAGTACTGCGCGCTGATGGCGGAGTAGCGCGTTGTCTCGGGCCAGCCCTTTTCCTTGTCGAGGACCTCGGTGCGGATCTCGTCCACGGGTGGCGGCGTCACGAGCAGAATCTTGGGCTTGTGGGCGGCGATGGCCGGGTGCGTGATGATCTTGGCCAGGTTGGCGCGGTACTTGTCCTGCGCCACGTGCTGCGTGTGCATCGGCCCGCACGGCGTCGTTGGCGCCGAGCAGCACGAGCAGGTACTCGATCTTCGGCGTCGTGTCCGAGGGCGGCTGGAAGAGCGTGTCGAGGTGCTGAACCACGTTGGCCGTGTTGTAGCCCGAGAAGCCACGGTTGATCACGTCAAGGCGTCTGATGGTGTCTGGCGCGTGTGAGTCCGGGATTTTTTTCTTGTCTCTATGACAGTTGAGTCATGTGGCCTCGGGACAACTCACGGATCTGCAGTTGTGACTGGAAGGAGAAGCCATCGAGAACCTCAACGGCGTGCTGAAACAGCGAATCGCCCAGCAGGACGACCTGGGGATAGGGTTTCTGGTAACTCGTCAGTCTACGTCCTTTGGCACGAGCTTTGTCAAGAATTTTCTAGCCGCGTACTGACCGTAGCCATGTTGGGGGCTTCAGAGGGGCTGAATGCGTCCGGGTGAAGGGCAGGAGGTGAGAGGGGTCAGGCCGCAGGGTGGTGGATTGTGTCTCGATAAGACCTCTCGTGTGGGTCAAGAGGCTGGCTGGTTGATAGGGAGGGAGCCTGATGGTGGTTGAAGATCGTAGGGATAAAAGGTTGACACACGCAACTCGGGGTGCATGATTCTTTTATGAAA